AACTACTAATTGCACTTCAAGGGTAGGCCAGAAACACCTGCAGTACATGGGAAAAAGGGGAAAAAAGTCAACTCTATACATCTAAGTCCTGATATTACATGCTGTGCTATTTTAAAGTCCAATGAAACACAGGAGACCTTGGACCGATTCTTCTGTAGCTTACAGTGATGCTTCACTCTGCTCCATCATCTTCAATGCAGCTGTAGTTACATCACAGAAACGACATTACCGGTAACCAAGTACTCAAGCCTAAAGTTATGGGACAGGCCTTTAACAGGCTTTAAATGAATGTCAGCTCAAGTGGGCCCTACTGTCCAAATCGGAAGCTCCGAACTGGTAGCACTAACTGCAGCAGCCAAAATCACTGACTTCCCAAAGGATATCCTGTCCACTTGTGTCAGTCAGTAAGGGGATCTACTGCCTCTGATTTTGTGATATGTAACCTTTGTTTAGTCCTGTGGGGAAAGAGGTTTCCAACAGAAACTGAGTACCAGTTGATACAATGACAGGTCTAAGTTGCTGCTCTATGCTTTTTCAAGCTGTAGATGAAGAAAATTAATGACAGTCTCACTAGATTCACTGCAAGAGTTCAAGTACCTCTGAAAAACAAACTTCTATGCCTACTGTCAACTTCACATTGGTAATGGTAAGGACATACAGGACAAATGAGCAGTACGTTGGAGCAATTTGTAGGAAACAAGAACCAGACCACGTAGCTGGGAAAAAACACAGAGGGGAAGAGAATTCTTTCTGTCACGCCGTGACCCCCAAAAATTCATGGAAAACTCCTCTTTTAAATAAGCAGAGAAACTAAAACTTCAAGTTTCTGTAAAAAGAGGTGGAGACCACAGAAGTTTGAGAGAAACAGGAGTTTACCAGAAGCCGTGAGTTGCAGTTCTCAACTGCTCACCAGCAGGTGATCTCAAGGCCTCTTTTAACATCGCTTCCTGCCACCTATTCCTGACTGACTCATCCAGTCACTCAGATAGGCTTTATAGCTTTCCTGTCATCACCATGGCAAGGAAAATGGACTGAAGTATTTCAAGACCTAACTGGATATTCTCCAAATCACACAGGCACCAAAAAAAAGGGAAAGCTAAATTCTGTCTGTTAGCAGCAACGCACCAAATAACAAAAAATGAGAGAAGGGATGTTGTCCAGTGTTTACAGTTCACAGTGTTCCTGGGTCTACCATCTTGTCTCCACTGATGGACTTAACGTACTTTTCAATGCCAGTTTTCCACAAATACATCCCAAATATTACCTGCCGTTAATGGTTTTACTCCTAACCTACCCTAATCTCTCTCTTCCATAGCACCTTGCATCTCCACCCTGCAAAATTAACAGGGTGGCTGGTAAGGGTAAGACCTTCAGAACCCCTGTTTTCCACTACTTCCTTCAGCTCTAATCATGCGATTAACTGTTGTCAGAATATTCCCAGTTTGCAACTTTGCAACTGCACCTACTTTACTTTCATTTTTTATACACAGTTTCACTACTTCTTATCTTGAATATTTTAATTCTCTTACTTTTCTGGGTCATTTGTACCTAGCTGGTTCTTTGGGCCGGACGCAGTGGGATTTGGATTTAGCTTTTTGCACTTTCTTCTCAAAGGTGAGCTCACAGATTTAATTTAACCAAAAATACTAGGCTTAATGCATTACACTAGGTTTTTTTTAATCTATTTCAGATTATTTTTATGTGTATTTTTATGAGATTTGTAATTACCTTCTTCAAGCAGAAGTAAACAGCTTAGCTCTTACTGACAATTGCAGCTTTAATTATAATATTTCAGCTTACCTAGAAGAGATATTATCTGCAAAACCAAAGTTTAATTGCCTGCCCATAGCTGCCACAATATACAGACATTAAGCATGTGAAGTCCTGCCTCTAACAGAGAATTCTGCTTACTGCTTATCTCGTTCAGTATTTTCATAGTGTATTCGTCTGAAGAAAACATCTTTCAACATCTCACACCAAATACAGATTTTCAAATTGCTTGCAATTGTCTCTCAATAATAAACAGGAGATTCTTGCCCCATTCTCGCAGGCTTATGCACTTCCTGTTCTGTGTCAAATACCTTCCTGCTTTTCCAAATCCATGCAAAAAGCCCGTGAGGGGCAAATCTAACTCATCAGTCCAGACCATTACTGAATTCCTTTCTCTGAAAGTTAACACCTTACTCCCTTTACCCATCTTTATCAGTGATCCAGTGGTCGATAAGCTTCACAGAAAACGATGTACATTTTTTTGGTATTTTTAAGAAATACAGTTATAGAATTATTTTACATAGTCTTTGAGCCATACATTTACATGTTAAACCATGTATGGTCAGACCATAGCCATTTGGATTATTTTATGAACTCTGAATACTCAAATTATAAATTCTATCTAGCAACCAGGTCAGTCTGATGAAAGGTGTATAAGCACTAGCTGGGAATAGAACAACAGACATTAGACTGACCACCAACACACTAATGAACGTGCTGTCACAGAAATACCATTTGGAGCTGATTTTGCAAGAAATTATCAGAAACTTAACACTGGCCATCGTAAAAAGGTACCCATGAAAGGAAACTCTGTGTAAAGCACTGTGCAAACGCACAAGACCTCTTAGGGCACGTAACTGTAATGGTGGAGAGCTATGTTAACTCCAACAGTAGAGCGCTGAGCTCTACATTGGCACGGCACAATGACATCTAGCACCCAGTTACTCCAATCCAAAGTACATACAGGAAGCTCTATGGGATTTCCTCACATATGCCCACCACCTGCTCCTTGTTCTTAAAGGCAGGTTATGGCCAGAAGACGAGGAATCACGCATCCATCAGTCTCGTTCATATTATTACTGAAGTTTTCTTTCTCACGCATCCATCATTTAACATTCTTGTATTTGTCTTCTATTTGCGCTTTCCCTATCTGCATAACTAACAGTATTGGCTCCCTTCACATACGCTTTCTTTTCATCCGCATACCCAGTAATGTATTTTCCAGTTTTTCATTATTTATAGTCTCTATTTTCTCTCATTCCCATCTGTATAGCTGATCAGTAATGTATCTATTATTAATATCTCATAGGTGTGTACATGGCACTTTCACTGACACTTAAGAATCTATAGCAGCTTACTACATCCTTTCCCTAACTCAGCATGAGGTTTGGATGTGCAAGGTATAGAAAAGCGGGCTCTCAGTTAGCCAGCTGGCTTGACAAAAGACAGAAGGGGAAGAACTGCAGCCTCCAACCAACTGTTGCTTATTTTGGCACTATAAAGGCACAGATAGGAATACAGAAAAAGACCTTGAGCAAAAGACATGTGCAAGACAAAAAAGAAAGACACCAATGCAACAAACTTTGCACTTAAGATTCCTAAATGGCAGCTGCAAGGTGGGGGTTCAGTTTTGGTATGAAAGCTTTCTCCCGAATTTTTGTGCCTCCAAGTGGGAGTAACATTGCCTACCTGCCCAAGTGCTGCAAGAGGGAAGTTGGTACTTGGTTTTCCTAGGCAACTGCTGCATCCTTACACATCACGTTTTATGCTACCTCAGTGTCATTTTCCAGCTTTTCTTATGTAAATTTATTTATCTTAACAGACTGCACAGCTGTCTCATTCAGGCTTGCAATGATTGGGAACAGTTGAGACGCGTGCTTGAAACTCTTGAGTCAATGATGCAGTATGTGGGAACTCGTTCTACAACACAAATAAAAATTGGGTCTCACTTTGATCCGGTTGATGTAAAAGGCCTGTTGTGTAAACGCAGCTGTGTCTTTGTGAATCTCATGTAGAACATGAAGCCTTCGGTACCTGCAAATGCTCATTTCTAAACTTTCAATTCATGTAGCATAAACTACTGACTGGGAATACTGTGCTTAGATGTTTGCACCCACATGTGCAAAGGACTGTTTATTTTTCAGGCACTCACCTTGCTAAACTCTACTACACAACTCGTATTTTGAGGATAATTGTCAGGGAAGCCTAGGGCACTGGGCACAAACTCTGTTAGGAAAAAAAAAGTGATCTTTGGACATTTTAAACAGCAACTGTGCCTAGCTGTAGCAGCGGGGACGGGTGCGTGGTTCAGTGTGATGGGCTCCAGTGAGAACCAGGTGTTTCCTCACTTGCAGTTTCTGGCCCTGGCCGGACCCCAGGATCTTCTCACAGGGTGATCCCTGGATCTAGCCGGTCCAGGTGTTTTCCAGCCAAACACCTGCGGGCTGCACAGAGCTCAGGTGCTGCCCAACCGGCCGGCGAAGCTCTGCCTGCAGCGGCGGCATCCCAGAGCCGACTTCTCTCCCCTCATTTCACAACGACCCCGGTGGAAAGCGGGGGGGACCGCAGGGCGGGCCGCGGCGGCTGGAGGGCCG